CGAAACCCCCCCTGAGTCTGGACACAGCCCAAGTGTATACATTTTTAATATATAAAGCAATATCTCCTCCCTTTTTTCCTTGCCTATCCTTCCTGAGTAAGCTGTATCCTTCTATACCAATATTCCAGTTATGTGTATTATCCCATCAACTCTCTGTGATACCAATGATGTCATAGTTGTGTTTATTTATTATCACTTCAAGTTCTTCCTTCTTTCTTTCTTTGTGTTTTTAAAAATCTCCAGACACTGGAGGGGAGGGAGGGGGGAGGTAGAGAGGATAGTTTTTTGATACAGTGAAAGAAAACACTTTCCTGTAGGTCCTTCATGCATTCAAGCTGATCCTTACTATTGTCTGGGCATCTGATTTTGCCTTCCCTGACGCCGATAGCCCCCCTCTTCCAGACTTCAACAACACAATGTTCCCTCACCCCCAAGGAGGAAATCCTGACCCCACTGAAGTCAATGAAACTCTTGCCACTGACTTCCACGTGGCCAGCATGTCTCCCAGTGGCTTTACGTGAAACGTGTATTATTTTGTCATTGAAGAATCACAAAGTGGCAGAACTAATGACAGATGTGTCCTGATTTGACTATATCCCTGCTATGGGCAGAACCTTCTCGACCTAGGTGTTACAGAGAAGGGACTGTTTGTTCATATGCTCCACTATGCTTTATGTTTCTAGTGATGAGAAATACAACTCGGGACTGCCATGACTGAGTAAGAAAGGCCTTCTAGAAATTGGGACATTATATGCTATTACGGTCAATGCATTTGAGTGAGGTCTGCAGGAGGATTTAAATGTAATTTTATCTCCCAACCACTTCCTCGTCTTGTTTTTAGAAAACATCCTCTGGTTAGGAACAAGGTACTTTTTTCCCTTATATGGAGTAAATTAGACAAGCTTATGTGTAAATCTGAAATTATCACCTAGAGATTTGGTCTGTAATTCTGAGAAGCTAGGGCTACAGAATCTGTAGCTCTGCAACACAGGAAATAGAGGGTGATCACAGTCTCGAGGAGCATGAACAATGTGTTCACCAAGGATTATGCACTATTTAAGGGTGCATGGTAAATGCCATTGGTGTTTTGCTGATGTAGCTTGGGGTCTTTGTTCTGCTTTGGATTAAAGATGAGCAAGTGATGGAGCAGCCTATCAGATCCCCTGACTGTCTGGATCCTTGACCTAAAGTTCCTGAAGCCAAAACCACTGCTGTGATTTTGGGTCCAGCTCAGAACAATCATTAGAGAAGTCCTGCAAGAGCAGGAAAAACTGTGCAAAGCTCAGGGGAGCGTGTGATTGGATCATGCTATGGTGGTGAGAACATCAGCTCCCTTTTGGACATTACCCATAAAATGCACCTGAAGATCATACAAGGAAAAAGGATTAAACTCAGTCCAGTGCTCCCTGTAGCATCCGATCACAAACAGCTGTTTGTCAGAATTTGCCACCCTCCAACCCAAACTTGGGACCTACCTTGGCTTGACAACCTAAACTAGGAGCCCCAGGCTTAGCCCAATGTGGCTTTGCACCCCACTTCCTCTTTGACCCAGCCCCCAAGTAACTTCACTGTAATCATGGCGTGGGTAGCCAGGTACAAATGCTTCCACTGAACAAAAACACCTTGGAACAGGCCACTTCTGATGCTTGCTTGTTCACATCTCAGGCTAGTGACTGGATGATGTAATGAGGTTTATGAGTCTGTTGTTGGTCCTTAAACTCAGGCACTTTAATGATACTAATAATCTAGCCTGTTTCACCTGTCACTCTTGATGAGCTTCTCGAAAGAGGCCAGCACCATTCTCTCCATTCCACAGGTGGGGAAATGTGGCACAGAGAGGAGAAATGGCTTGCCCATTTCTAGGCCAATGGCCAAGCCAGGAATAGGACTCAGGTGTCTTAAGCCCAAGCCCAGGGCTCTGGTCCTGAGACAGCCTTACCTCTGGAGATCCCAACAAAGGTGACTCAGCTGGGGGTGTCATTACACTGGCTGGAGAAAAGCTGCTGCCTTTGCCTTGGTGGGAGGTCATTTTATTCTGTGCCCTGCTTCAGATTCACCAATGAGCGGATGCAGCTGGGCAGAGCTCAACTCCGCTTCCTTTTTATGGCCCTAAAGTACATTTTCCAGATCACATCAGAAGAGGGAATATTCCCCCCCCCCATAATCCTCTTCCTTACCCCGTCCCTCCCCCACATAATAAAAAGCAGTGAAATAAAAACCAGCTGGACAGAGAAGATTGAATGACTGGGGCGGGGAAGTCACCAGAGGCAGCCAGGCAGCAGACAGAGCCTGCCTGCCCTGGCCTGCACTCTGCATTCCTTGTCGCTAACCAACCTACTTCACTGCCAACCACTGTCAGGGTGGGGGGGCCGATGTTGATGCCCCACATTTGGCAGAGGGGCATCTCGGCTTGCTAAGCATAAGCCTCATTTGGAATATGGAGACACAGAGCTGTGACCAACTGTGTTTGGTAAGGAAAGAGCCTGGTTTAAGTGATATCGAAGTGTCTCACTTTTCCCTTTGCTCTCAAAGGGATCCTTTGCCTTCACATACAGGCCAAGCTGTCATGGGTGGATAATCCTCCCCATGTTTTTCACACGAGGGTCACTGTGGTCTGTTCCCCAAGCCCTTGGTGAGGCCCTAGAGGGCCCTGGGAATGCCAGTTACTCCCAACATGGGGCAGGCTGTTGCTCAGCCTCTGCAATTGTGAGGAGGGTGTCATTTTCTCCCCCAAAGAAGGAAGTAATGTGGGCTGTGGTTGGGAGGGGCAAAGAGAGTGAGTGCTCTTGTGTCACTCTGGGACTGGATGAGAAGGGAACTTTCCATACTTGTGTAACAGGCTGCTGGGGAGACCCAAAGCTTTGCGTCACCAGGCTGAACTTCCACCTCAGCAAGAATGAGCTTTGCTGGTGCTTAGACAGTGTGTCAGCTCCTGAGTCACATGGTCCACCTCTCACCAACAGGTCACCATTAGTGACCTGCAACTCCTGGAGCTCATGTTCTGCAATTCAAAGCCCCCGCCCCTGTGCATTTCCAGCAGGTACTATGTTGGCTGCATTGCTGAGTCAGTACGTAACCACTTATCCATTCAACTGGAGTAAATACACCTTCCCCTTCAAGCACAGCACAGAGCTGGCTTGTGGGAAAAGTGAGACACTTTGATATCACTTAAACCAGGCTCTTACATTACCAAACACAGTAGATCACAGCTTTGGGAATCCAAGCAAGGTATTGGGGCCTGGGTGTATCGAGAGGAGAGGGTTAGTGGGGAGGCTTTTCTTTGTCATGTGCTCACCCTTGTTGGTGTGTCAGGGAGAAGAACCCACAAGGGATTGTCAGCCCACAGGATCATGGACAAACAGGATTATGGATTCGCTTCAACACAGAGTCAATTTGGGATAGTTGCTTTTATTAATTTCTCTACATCATTACTATTACAGGATTAATACTGCCAAATGGTTACACAGCCACTGCAAAGTGACACATCAATAAGCACAGGCAGAGCAATGCATAAAAGAGTAACAGGCACTTAGAAATGCTTTCTTCCTTTCAGTCTGCAGGAAGTTCCATTTCTGTCACTTAGCACCAGGGCCACAGTGGACATGGTTCCAGCTGAGGGAAATTCGAGCACCCTCAAGGTTGGGGTCCCAGGCAAAATTCACCAGGGGTGGGACTCCCAGTGATCTTATACCTTATCTGTTTACCGAGTGTACGTGCACTGGCTCAATGCCACTCTTAGCATTCCCACGGAGCCGAGAACCAAGGTCAAGTTATTTATCCCATACTCCATTCTCAGCTAGGAAACATAGGGCGGCAGCTGATGAAGGATATCTGATAAAGAACACCTGGTGTTTTGCTGGCAAGGTTCATAGCTGGGCTAGAGGAATAGAAATGTAATCCCTGCAGGTCTACATATGGCTTACATTAAAGGGACCTGGGGAGCAGAGCTGTGTGTGGCCTCAGACTGGCATAGCAAATGTCCTTCTTTCAAGATTTATCTGTGTTTGTAAACCTCGGCCCTGTTCACTCAGGGTATGTCTACACTACCCCCTTGTTCAAACTGGGGGGGGGAATGTAGTCATACGGAGTTGCAAATGAAGCCCGGGATTTGAATTTCCCGGGCTTCATTTGCATAAAGCCGGCCGGCACCATTTTTAAATGCCAGCTAGGTCGGACCCCGTGCCATGCGGCTACACGCGGCACGGACTAGCTAGTTCGGATTAGGCTTCCTAATCCGAACTAGCTGTACACCTCGTTCCATGAGGCATGAGAAAGGCAATAATGATGTACAAGGGCATGGCATAGCTTCCATATGAGGAGAGACAACACAGACTGGGGTTGCTTGGCATAGAAAAGAGTTGACTAAGGAGTGATTTGTTGAAGGTCTGTAAAATCATGAGTGGGGTGAAGAAAGTGACTAAGGAAGTGCTGGCTGTCCTTTCCCACATACAAAACCCTGGGGGTCATCCAATGAAATGAATAAGCAACAGGTTTAATAAAAAAAAAGTTATTTTTCATATAACACACAACTAATCTGGGGAACACACTGCTGTGGGATGTGGTGATGGCTGAAAAAGATGCTAGGTTCATAAAAGAACTAGATAAGTTCATGGAGGACAGGGATGCAATCCCATGCTAAGGACTACCCTAAACTTCTGACGGACAGAAGCCAGGCCTGGAAGGCTGGTGGACCATTCCATAACTGCTCTGTTTGGTACATTCCCCCTGCATTCTGGAACGGACCCCAGAATGCAGATCTTACAAGATGTTTTCATCTAGTCTTGTTGAGAGCGATGTCCACAATCTCACAACAGGATACACCACAGCACCTAGTTTAAATCTTGATATATTTTTTTTAAATAGAGACCACCACATCCTATTGCTAAATAAGACTCCTTCCTTTGCAGTATTGAGTGGTTCTGACAGAGAGAGGGTAGTGGTACGCCTTACAAGAGCTACTTCACATCCCCTTTTTTTTCTTTGCCTGGCATTTTTTTTAGAAAGGAGAAGCACTGACTTTGCTAAGAATCTATCGGCTGCGTGTACAGAAATTATAAAAAACATCAGGCAAACTGTAACCTTCAGTGTTAAGATATGCCAAAGAAATATAATCCGGACACAACTTTGTATGTGGATTCAGAACTCTGAGGCTACCACATTGCTCACACTCCAGCAAGGTAAATGTATAGATTATAATCTAGATTCCTTTCTGATTATTCACTGGATTCCTTCTATCATTGGCTCACTTGAATAGTAAAAGAGATCTAGGAGATAACAAAATACAACTGTTAAATCCTGGGAAATGCATTTTGTGTAGAAGCTGTTTTATAGCACTGGCTGTAAAATCTGGGAACTTGACTGTCTTTGGTCATGAGATATTTTGGAAGGCTACTGTTAACATAGGAATAGGGCAGAGAACCAGCAGTATCTTCTGGGTGGAATGCAGTTGTGAAAGTTTTGAAGCTCCAAAGGGATGGCTGGGAAATTTAACCAGCATTAGGCAGGAGTTGGCACTGCAGTGATTGTTTAGGAATGTCAGAGGGGTGTTTTTCCCAGGGTGATTGTGAGAATGCTTATAATCTTTCTGCTTGTGCAGGAAACAGCTAGTTTGCTCACCTTGAAGTTTCTTGTGGAATTTCTAAAGCAGGGCATAGAAGATTTATTCTTTAGAATGAAATCTTCCCAGAGAAGCTAGCGTGAAATAGTTATTCTTTTTGATAGCACTATTGCATTTTTACTGGGGATGGGATGTCAGATTTTGTTAAAGCAAAGCCAGATTGGAACATACTGTAGATCAAGAGTCAAGCCCTCAAAATCTCCAGAGCTTTGAGAGCATCCCACAAGGTTTATTTTCATTTTTGCAAGTGGTCTTGTGAGTTCTTTTGAAACTTGTCAGTCTCTTGGGCCGTGTCCAGACTCAGGGGTTTTTTCGGGAAAAGTAGCCTTTTCCCGAAAAAACTTCCCCTGCGTCCAGACTCAAGCCGCGTTCTTTCGAAATTATTTCGAAAGAACGCGGCTTTTCTTTCGATGGCGGTAAACCTCATTTCACGAGGAAGAACGCCTTCTTTCGAAAGTTCCTCTTTCGAAAGAAGGCATTCTTCAATGTAAAGAGGCCGTCTTTGAAAGAGAGCATCCAGACTCGCTGGGTGCTCTCTTTCGAAAAAGTGGATTTCTCTTTCGAAAGATCCGCGTGCAGTCTAGACGCGATCTTTCGAAAGAGGCTCTTTCGAAAGATGCTTTCGAAAGAGCCTCTTTTGAAAGAAGCCTGCAGTCTAGACATAGCCTCGGGTGAGAGCCTAAATTCATGAGCTCTTCTGCTCATGTGCTGGCAAAAGTAGCTCAGACTCTGCTTTGTTTCAGCTGCAGGGTGCTCAGCTGAACTGGATCACTACAGCTGGTGAGATTCGTCCATCATTGCTCTGAACTCTGGTCTTGGGATCTCAGTTCTCTCTTAGCTCCCTGTGCTTTCTATTGAAAGCCCAGTCATTTGCCCTGCTGGGGAAGAGGGCTGGCATGGCTCCACAGGGAGACTTGTAAACACACAGTTCTTTGCACTGCATTGGAGCTGGATAAGCCCTGGCTAGATAACAGCCAGCAGCTATTTTGACCCCAAAGGGACTCCAAATTTCACCTATAGCTTTGAGAATTGCACTGTTCCTCACTGGCCAGATCTGCAGGTGAGTTTGCGGGGGGAGGAGGGGCTGCTATATCCCTCACTCCTCTCCCTGCACCTGTGATGGGAACTATCTTTTAGTGTAGCACAGAAGGAGCCACTGCTGCATTGCCTGGACAGCTGGGGGGCAACTGTCCCCCCATCTTTATGTTGAATGATTGGCGAGGGAAGAGGCTACTTATGCCCTCCTGAGTCAGAGACAGGCTGGCCCTTCAGTGACACTATTTGCCCAGGGAGACAGAGGGCAGGCATTGATGTACCACCCTCCAGTACTGTTGGTACCAACTGCAGGAGGGTGGGGAGGAAAGAGAACAGTGGAGCTTTTCTTGTCGTGGTTTGGCAACATGAGGCCGCCCAGAGCAGTTGAAGGGGCTGCATGCAGCTATGAGCTGCGCATAGCTCTAGATTGTTCCTGGAGGGCCCAGCTGTCATGGGAATTTTCCACCTTGATGAATGAGCCCCTGGGAGCTAAATTGAGTGACAGCTGCAGGAATCATCCCCAAGCAGGCAAAAACCCACTCAGGATAAAAAGGCCAGTTCTTTTTTTCCCACCTCTCTTTCCTGCAATCAGGCAGTGATGCCTGGGCACGACTGAATTCCTTCCAGCCACCCCTCACCAATCTCCTGCCCGTCTGACTGGCTGTGCACAGTTTCTTCAAGGAACAGAATGGGTTCAGATGGTCAGTTGAGCAATTGGATGTGGGCAGCAAAATGGAAGCAGTCTCTGTGCTGGTGCCATTGCTTGCTAGCCTCCCTGGAAGAGCTAGCAGGCCTGCACAGGGGCTGAGGCATGGGGGTGGAAGTGGGGACTTGCAGGTAGACAGGGAAAGAAAGGGCCATGAAAATACAATCATGCCCTCCCTTGCATGAAACAATGACTCACTTTGGCATCTACATTGAATTAGCCCCGACCCCAGGCTGGCTCTGGCTTGTTCCTGCTTCCAGGTGGCATGCAGGGCCTGCGCTAGCACATCCAGTTTGGAGAGCTGGCCCCTGACCACCCAGCCTTTTACACTCTCTTTGCACTGAGTAAATGATGAGGCAGGATATGGGATGGTGGAAAATCTGGCACTTCCTCCTGAACTGTGGGGCCCATCTTCTGATTCTGGGTCCTGACTTCATTTCCTCCAAATGCTGTCTGAATGTCATGGATTTATTCAGCACTTGGGTTTTGCTGGAGCGTTGTGGGCCACAAACAAGTGCCCGCGGTGCTCTAGCGCAATCCCGCCAAAGGCAGCCTTGCAAAAGAATCTCTTCAGTGCGCCATGCACAACAGCTGGACGGGATCTCAGTGAGTGGCTAAAAATCGAGAGGGCTGTCTATGGGGGGTGCAGCCTGAGACACCAGTCAGACCTGGGGGCTGCATCTAGACTGGCAAGTTTTTCTGCAAAAGCATTTGCTTTTGCGGAAAAACTTGCCAGCTGTCTACACTGGCTGCTTGAATTTGCGCAAGAACACTGACGATCTCATGTAAGATTGTCAGTGTTCTTGCAGAAATGCTATGTTGCTCCCATTCAGTCAAAAGCCCTCTTGTGCAAATGCTTTTGCGCAAAAGGGCCAGTGTAGACAACGTGGTATTGTTTTGCGCAAAAAAGCCCCGATGGCAAAAATGGCAATTGGGGCTTTCTTGTGCAAAACCGCGTCTAGATTGGCACGGACGCTTTTCCGCAAAAAGTGCTTTTGTGCAAAAGCATCTGTGCCAATCTAGGCGCTCTTTTCCGCAAATGCTTTTAAGGGAAAAACTTTTCCATTAAAAGCATTTGCGGAAAATCATGCCAGTCTAGACGTAGCTGGGGAGTTCGTCTGAACTTAAAGCAGGGGTGGGGAACCTGTTTTAGGTTGGGGGCTGCTGACCCACAGAAAAATCAGTCAGGGACCACACAAGCGAGATGCAAAAGACCAAACCAAACACCTCACTGACGTGGCCCCCAGCTGAGAAAGGGGGAAAGGTGCTCCCCACATTCCTCTCACACACCAGAGCCTAGGGAGACCAAGGATAGTTGGGTTTGTGTGCTCCAGTCCTGCGGGGGAGACACTGGGGAGGGAGGGAAGGGGAGACTGGAGCATCATCATGGGCTTCCCAATGCTGGGGGGATCCCTGAGCTTCATGGGCTGGATTTAGGCAAGCTGGGGGGCTGCATCTGGCCCCAGGGCCTTAGGTTCCCCACCCCTGGCTTAAAGGGCTTTGAAATGGGAAAGGAACAAGCAATGGCTGAATTGTAAGAGTTCTGAGTTGGATCCGCTGCTAACAATGGGCTGCCTCCCCTGACCTGTTGGACTGAGGGTTTCAGAGCAGGATCAAGGGCTTTTGTGGCAACTTCTCCATGTGGCCTGCTCAGAATGGCCCTCGCAGTGGCTCTTTGTTTCCTAGCGATGCTGATGGTGCTGCAGAACTAACAGAAGCAGGATGGCCCTGGTTCTCAAGACACTAAAGCATGTCCCTGATTTCAGGCCCGGGTTCAGACTCAATGGGAGTTTTGCCATGACGTTAGCAGGAACAGGATCAAGCTCTCGAAACATGTGAGTGGCCTCAGCTCATTGACTTCAGAGGGACAATTGAGCCTCAGGCACGTGCATAAGTATCTCGCTGAATCGGGTCTGGGGGCCTCCTCCTGAGTGCTTGGTGTATTGCAGTGCCACTTGCCTCAGTTTCCCCTACCTCTTTTAGCCCGTTCCAGATGGAGCAGCGCCTGGCTCCTCCAACCAGACCACTTCGCAGCATCCTGTCCCTTTTGGGGTCACAGAGTCCTTTATCCAAGCGCAGCACAAGTGAATCCAGGCCCGCTAGTGGCAAGGGAGACAACGAGGGCAATTGCTCTAGGGCTTGGTGGTTCAAAGAAGCCCAGGGCTCCAGCTGCCACACTCTGGGCCCTTTAAATCACAGTTGTAGAGCCACACCGTGCACTCTGGGCAGAGCTAGGGGCTAAGGGAAGGTGCCAAGCCACGCTCCAGGCAGAGTTGAAGGCTGGCAGGCTCTAGGTTTCTGGCAGGCTCCAGCTGGTTCAAGATACCAGAGACAGGACACTTCCCCTAGTCTCTCCCCAAATGAGCTCACCCAGCTCTTCCTGGAGCCAGGCCTTGCTCTCCCTCAGTGTAGCTTTACTTCTAATTCGGCCTGGGCCACTCTCCAGCCAGACCCAGGCTGTCTAGTTGGCCTCCCAAGCTCAAATTGCCCTTCACACCTGGGAGGTAATCACTCCATCCCAGGTCCCAAAGGGTTAACCTGATTTTCTCAACACTCTCAGGCAGCAGAGTTCAGTTTTGGTTATTTGGTCGAATGGGTTTAGTCTCACTGAACTATTTGATTGCATCTGATATTTACTGCAGCCTTATTTACTTTTTGGAGAAAGTAACTAAGGAAGTGTTATTTATTCCTTCTCATAATGCAAGAACTATGGGTCATCACATGAAATTAATAGGTAGCAGGTTTAAAACAAACCAAAGGAAGGACTTCTTCAGACAATGTTCAGTTCACCAGTGGAACTCCTTGCCAGAGGATATTGT